ATCGTATAGGTGCTCCTTTATAGGTAACTACCTGCTTTTCTCTTGCTGCTTTTAATATTCTCTCTTTGTCTTTTGCTCTTGGAATTTTAATTATGATTTGTCTTGGTGTGGTCTTCTTTGGATTCCTTTTGTTTGGAGTTCTGTGTGCTTCCTGGACTTGTAAGTCTAATTCTTTCACCAGGTGGGGGAAGTTTTCTGTCACTATTACTTTCAGTATGTTTTCGATATCTTGCTCTCTCTCATCTTCTGGGACCCCCATAATTCTGATGTTGGTTCGCTTGAAGTTGTCCCAGAGGTTTCTTACATTATCTTCAACTTTCTGGATTCTCTTGCCTTCTTGCTTCTGCGGAGGAGTGTCTTCTGGCTCTTTATGTTCCAAATCTTTGACTTGATTCTTGCGATCTTCCATTCTGTTTTTAGGACTCTGTATAATATTTTTTATTTCAGACAATGTATTGTTTATTTCTTTTTGATCCCTTATTATTTCTTATCGATCCCTTATTATTTCTAGTTGATCCCTTTTCATATCCTCATAGGTCTTATTGACCTTTTCTAGGAAATTCTTGAAAAACCTTATAAGCGTAGATTTGAACTCTATATCCAGTCGCTTTTTGTCCTCCATTTCTTTCATTTGTGATCTATTTGGTTGTCTCGGCATTTTCACAGCTTCCCTGATGGGGCAAAGTTTCAGGTTGGAGCCTAAGGCTTGGCTTCCGTCAGCCACGCCCTATGCGGCTCCTGAGTCTCAGTAATCCCCCGGGTCCTTCAGTACTCGTTGCAAGCACCTCTGAGAGAAAGGTGCCCTTGATTTCCGCCTGCTACCAAACAGTCTAGGCTCACCCCCAATGAGCCCGGAACTGGGATTCAGTTCAGTTGGAAGTGGGGTTGGAGGTGGCGTTCAAAGCAGTCTGGAGCCCCTGTCTCCTTCCCTCCAGGGCAATCCCGCGGCACAGCCAACTGTCCCTTCTCTGCGCACAATGTGTGCACCTCCGGGACCCCCTTTCGCCGCTCCCCCGGGATTCTGCCTTACAGCCCAGCTCCCTCTGTATGAGCCTGGGTCCTCAGGGTTTGGCCTAGAACTGGGTTTCAACGCTGTCGGGTCTGGGGTTCAGCACAGTCGGAGCTTTTATCTCCTTTCTGCTAGGGAACGCCAGCCAGGCACTCAGCCGCCCTCCTCTCTGGCTCCGTCCTCTCCCCGCACGTTCAGTGTGTCTCCGTACCTTAGGCTTTTACAGCTCCTCTGATTTTCCTTCTGGTTTTCTCCTTGCTTCTCATTGTAGAATTTCCAGTCATTTGACTTTCCTGTTGTTCTGGGTAATGTCCATTTTATATTTTAGTTGTATTTTATTGAAATTGTTGTGTGCGGCTGCGGCTAGGTGTTTACCTGTGCAGCCATCTTGGATTCTCTCTAAATTATCTTTTAATGACCAATCATTCCACGTGTGATACAGTTATTTATTTTTACTGCATTGATAAGAAGGCATGTGGTATAAATTTATGTCATAGCTGCTAAAATTAACTTTTGTCACTTGGTTTGGATGGTGTCTGCCAGGCTCCTTCACTATAAAGATGATTGGTAAGTGTTTTGTACTTCTAAATTAATTCCAGGGTGGGCAAAAGTAGATTCATAGTTGTGAGTACACAAAACACAAGAGTTCATTCTTGTGTTATTATTTATTAACTAGAGGCCTGGTGCATGGATCTCGTGCACTGATGTGGTCCCTCGGCCTGGCCTGCAGGGATCAGCTGAAACCAGCAGTCTAACATCCCCCAAGGGATGCAGTAGTACTTGAAGTGGCAGGCAGCCAGGGAGGAGCCTGAGCTGGGGCTGGGCACTGCATTGCTCCCTCTCATCCTGACCCAGCTGCTCCTACTGCCGCTGCTCTGTAGGCTTGCTCCCGCTCTGCTGTGGTCTCCACATGCCAGGGCTAGGGTTATACTGGTGCACCCATGACTGAGAAGCAGCTGCAGGCTCATGCCCAGTCAGTCTGGGTGGGGTAGGAGCATGCAGAGGAGGGTCCACAGGAAAGGCTTGCCTCAGCAGCTGCACTTGCCAGCCATGAGACCGGCGTCTGGCACCTGTTGGTCAGCTGAGCGGCCCTCCCACTGTGGGAGTGCACTGACCACCAAGGGGCAGCTCTTTCATTGAGCACCTGTCCCCTGATGGTCAGTGCACATTATAGCTACCGGTCAACCAGTTGAACGGTCAAACAGTCAAATAGTTGCTTAGGCTTTTACATATATAGATTTACCATACAAACAACTGTAAATCCAATATTTCTCTGAATACTGTAAATAGTTACAGGTAGTCTTTTGTATGAGGAGATACTTTGAGATTTCAGTTGTAGGATATAGCTTTCTCTTCCTCCCCATGTATTTATTTATTCATGTATTTATTTATTTATTTATATTTTATTATTTTTAAATGTCTTTTTAATGATTTCAGAGAGAGGAAGGAAAAGAGAGAGAGAGAGAGAGAGAGAGAGAGAGAGAGAGAGAGAGAGAGAGAGAGAGAAACATCAATGATTAGAGAGAGTCACGATGGGCTATTTCCCCTACTGGGGCTCTTGCCTGGAATCCAGGCATGTCCCCTGACCAAAAACCATCAAACTAAACCAATGCTTAACCACTAAGCAAGCTGTATTTATTAATGTATATCAATGTAGATGTACATACTCTGGGATCTTTATTTTATTCTTTTTTTTATAGGTTTTTTTTTGCACCAAGTTGTTTACCTTAGTGTTTGTATTTTTATTTTATTATTTTATTTTTTAAAATATATTTTATTGATTTGTTACAGAGAGGAAGAGAGAGGGATAGAGAGTTAGAAACATCGATGAGAGAGAATCATCGACCAGCTGCCTCTTGCACACTCCCTACTGGGGATGTGCCTGCAACCAAGGTACATGCCCTTGACCGGTATCAAACGTGGTACTTTTCAGTCCGCAGCCAATGCTCTATCCACTGAGCCAAACCAGTTTCGGATCTTTATTTTATTCTATCTTTAACTGCCATTAATTACTTTGATATTCAAACTTGGCCAATGGGAGTACCTTCAACCTGACTTTTCTGTAAAATTGACATCTCCCTGTCATTCTCTGAGCACTCCCCTTTCACCAGATTCTTACCTCAATTCTAACACTTTAGAGAGAGTCAGATCCCACAGGTTAAGGGCTCAGTTCTACAAGACTGCCCCCTACTTCACACACCAATGGCAAGTCCAGGTTGTTACCTGTGTTTCTGATCATCCAGCTATAAATCAGAGGTTCCCACAGCACCCTACTTGGGTTTAATTAATTTTCTAGAGTGAATTACAGAACTCAGGAAAAAGTTTACTTACTAGGTTCCTAGTTTATTATATGATTCAGGAATAGCCAGATGAAAAAGATGCAAAGGCAAGGTGTGTGGAAAGGGGTACAGAGCTTCCATGCTCTGAGTGCCACTTTCCGTGAATCCCCAAGTGTTCACCAATCTGGAAGCTCTGGAACCCAGTCCAGAGCTTTTGGATTTTTCTGGAGGCTTTATTTCATTTGCTTGATGGATTAAATCATTGGCCACTGGCAATAGAGCCTAATCTCAGCCCCTCCTTTCGGTGGGGTTGGGGACGGGGCCAAGTTACAACTCTACTGACCAGATGGTTCCCCAGGCAGCTAGACCAGATCCTCACCAGCTTTCCAAAAGTCATCGCATTGAGTAAAATGAAATCTGGAGTATTTGAGAGGGTTTTGTTAAAGACATCAAAAGACACCCTTATTATCGAAACCGGTTTGGCTCAGTGGATAGGGCGTCAGTCTGTGGACTGAAAGGTCCCAGGTTCGATTCCGGTCAAGGGCATGTGCCTTGGTTGTGGGCACATCCCCAGTAGGGGGTGTGCAGGAGGCAGCTGGTCGATGTTTCTCTCTCATCGATGTTTCTAACTCTCTATCTCTCTCCCTTCCTCTCTGTAAAAAAATCAATAAAAAAATCAATAAAAAAAAGACACCCTTATTACTCTTATCACTTTGGAAATTCCAAGGGTTTTAGGACCTTTGTACCAGAATCTAGGTAAAAAACTATATATAAATGTATAATAAATCCCAGTATCAACCTGTCTGTTTTCCCAGACCCCGGTCCATCATTTCCCTAAGGAGCCTTGTTCTTTTAGTGGAAAATAGTAAAAAACAAGTTATGCATGCCAGATGTGCTCATTGGTACTGGATGTTATTGCTTCTAAGCCCTCAAAGCAGAGCCGGAACAATGTGCATGGTCATACACACATCCATCTGCCACACGTGCCCCATCCATGTACACACGTGTCCCATCCATGTACACACAGTAAAACCGTGAGCTCAGAGCTTCCTTTCACTCTCCTTGACCCTTTCTGTATTTGTTTGTGTTTTCTTTCTCTGAGAAACCTGATTCTCAGCAGACTTCATGACATTTATTTGCTCAGCCCCTTGTTGAACAATTCTTGTCACGATTCATTTTTGTCAAGGTTCTCTTTAATGTTCACATTGTCCCACCTCTTCATCCCAGCGCCTGTGTCCTTTGCTGTGGCCCCCCCCCCCCCCCCTCCGTTTTTGAGCACGTTTGTACTTTAAGGCACAAAATGGTCCAGATCCGTTTTGTGCTTTCTCAGTCCAGCCCGGAGTCAGCCATTTCCCAAGTTCATGTTAGTGGGAACTGACATTTCAAACTGGGCTATGAGCCCTGGATGAATTCATTCCTTACGAACTAGAAAATAAATACGACATATACAAAGACTGTATGTAAATTAATGGATCTCTTTAATCCAATCCCATGTCTCCCTTCCCTCCGGACGCCCCCTCCTCCCTCCGCCCGTTTCCTCCCTTCTCTGCAGGGAGCACGGCGGCTCCTGGCAGCATCAATGCTTTACTCACTTTCTCAACCCTGTGATGCACACAGACAAGCTTGGGAATTGCCTCCTTTTGGAAAAGGAAGTTACACACACACACACACCTCTACCCAGGCCACGTCCCGTTTCCCTCCTCGGGGGCGCCTCACCAGGGCTCCAGCGGGGGCGCCGAGGGCTCGTAGGGCTGCGCCCAGGCGTCGCCGTCGTCGTCCTCGAGGGCGCGGGCCCCGCGAACGGGCAGCGGGCAGATGGTGAGCGGGTCGGGGCGCTCGCTGCCGTCGGGGGCCCTGGGCCGGAAGTAGGCGCAGAGCGGGCCCGGGAAGGTGTCGGCGAAGGTGTAGATGTGGGAGCCGTCGGACGCGTTGAAGAAGGCCAGCTTCCCGGCCTCACAGTCCAGGAAGACGCCCACGCGCCGGGGCGGCACGCGCGGGGCCAGCGCCCGGCGCTGCGGCTCCAGCACGAAGTACTCGCAGCCGTTCCACAGCCCCATCACCCAGTAGCCGGCCGCCGGGCTCAGGCGCGCCTCGCCCGCGCGCGCCACGGCCGCCAGGCAGGCGCCCAGCAGCCAGCGGCTGCGCCGGCCCACGTCCACCTCCCAGTAGTGGCGGCCGGCCGCGAAGCGCTGGCGGCTCAGCACGCACGTCTGCTCCGTGAAGCGCTGCGCGTCTCCGGGCGCCGCCGGGGCCAGCGCCGCGCCGCGGGAGGTCACGCTCCTGCCGTCCGGGGAGACCTCCAGGCTGGGGTGTGCCGAGGCCGGGTCCAGGGTCACGTTCACTGCGCAGAGCAGAGGCTCTGAGTTAGTGCTCCGCATAGTGCGGGGCCCTACGTGTCTCCTCCCGAACGGCCAGCCTCTATTTTTGGAACAGGAGGTGGAATATGCGCCCCCACCGTCAACCCCAAACACTCGGAGACTGAAGTGGCTGCAAGTCACCAGGGAGCATTTGAATGTGTAAGAGGGATCCTATTTCTTTCCTGAACTGGGAGGTTCCTGAATTCTACACGGTGCCGGTGCCCTGGAGAGCAGAGACAGCAACAAGGCAGGCTCCTGGGGGTGGAGGGCTCACTGCCCTCAGGTCTTGGCCAGAGGAGGGAGCCTCGGGCTGGACTAGTTCCACTGTCTCACCACCAGCGTGGCCTAGAGAGCATCGCTGACCTGAGCCTCAGTGAGTGTGTGTGTGTGTGTGTGTGTGTGTGGTTTCCCCCCTCAGTTTTACAGCAATTTTAGGATTTTAAAGCTGCAGGGGTCCTCTGAGAGGATCTAGCTTAGTGCCCTGTCATCCCCATAGCTGCTGGAACACCCTCATTTGATGGATGGGAGCCCCAAGGATCCTTACTACTGAAAGGTTCCTTCCTACTTTGTATTTGTTCCTGCCAACAGCCTCCTGCAGAGGGAAAGACCAGTAAAACCAAGAAAGGACCCCAGCTGGTTGCTCAGTGATTAGAGCGTAGGCCCCACACGCTGAAGGGTTGGTTGTGGGTTGGATTCAAGGTATGGTCAAGGGCATATACCTCAATTGCAAGCTTGATCTCTGGTCAGTCAGGGCACAAACAGGAGGCAACTAATTAGCAATCGAACTGTCTCTTTCACATCATATATCTATCTCTTCCTCTCCTTCCACTCTCAATGAAAATCAATGGAAAAAATATCCTCTGGTGAGAATTAGCAAGACCAAGAAAGACCTGTGCTTGTGGGGGTAGGTATGTGCACACCAATGTATACATGTGTGAGTTAATCACATCTATGCATGCAAGCATGTATGTGTCCATATGTGCATATGTGCACATGCAGGCGTGTGGGCCATGTTATTCTGTGCAAGTGGACTTGTATGTCTGTGTGTGCAGGCTCCTACTTGGCTTCTGGACAGACCCTTCCTCTGATCTCAGATAGTCCGACCTCCCTCTTTAAAGATCCCGCCAACCTCAGCCATGTCATTCCTTGGCCCACCTCCAGTTACCTGCATATTGTTGGGCTGCTCTCCACTCTGAAAGCAAACAGAGGAGAATGAGGTTCAGAGAGCTGAGTGATGCACGAGGGACACTGTAACACTGAATGAGCCCATTCCCACATGACAGCTGGTTTCGATCCATTTTCCTGAGGAATCAGGATTGCTAAGGGGCTGGTGTCGGTGCTGGTTCTACCCACACTGCATGCAAGCCAAAGTTGTGCTCGGACGGGCAGGGGACCAGAGCACGTGGACGCAGAGCCCAATACAAGCAGAGTGGGTGTTCTGCAGGATGGAGAGGAAGCCTTTGATAGATCCTCCCTTCCCCCAACAGATGGACACGGTATGACATAACCTGCACCTGCGGTCTGGACATTCCTGAGCACCTAACCAGGCACCTTATATGGACTGTACATTGAACCACCATCAGCACCTGCGCCCCCAATTCCTAAGTACCTAAGTACCTAACCACCAATCAGCACCTGAGCCCCCAATTACTGTAAGCCCCCCCGATTCCTAAGTCCCTAAGTGCCTAATCATGTGCCTTATATGAAACCACCAATCAGTGTGCACCGAGTACCCTAAGCCCCATCCCTTCCCATTCCTCCCCTCAAAAGGCGCCTTCATCCCTGCACATGTGCTCCCTTCCTTTGGGAGGCGGCCCTGCAGGGCTCCTTCTCCTCCAATAAAGCCTGTGTCTCATCTTTCAGCCTCTACCTCTGAATGGCAAGCGGGGTCCCCAGGAGGCCTAGCTGAGGCTGGCTCCTGTCCTGACCCGTCCTCTACATACCTGTCTTGTCTCCTTTCTTCCTTTCTTCCTCTCTTTCCCTCCTTCCCCCCCCCCCCCCCCCTCTCTCTCGACAACCAACGATTTTAATAAGACATTCACTTTTCTCTTTACACTTAAATAACCGGTGTGCTTCCCCGTCTACCTTCTAGCCTGACCTGTAGGGGAGCAGCCACCCAGTGGGGAGCACCCTCGTGCAAACAGGGACCCCACGGGGCCGCCTAGTCTGTGCAAATGTGGCTGTTGTTCAGCTTAAGAAGAGGAGCCCCCAACAGCCAACTAGCACATGAGATGCCCAGACTCCTTCGTGTGCAGAGGAGTGCACACTGCGAAAACAGCGAGAATCACTCCTCTCTACTGACCGGCAAGCTTAGCAAGCTGGCTCACACGGGATGGGAACACGTGGGGCTCCATGCACTGCCAATGGCAGGTGATGGCACTGCCTTCAGGATCCCTCTGTCCTACTTAGCGACAAACTCTGGGCCAGCAGTTCCCTTCCTGGCATACATCCCAGAGAAGTCTCCACACAGGCCAGAAGGCAGCATGCATGTGTTTCGTGTGGTGGTGTGGGTCAGAGCAGGCTGGCTGCTACTTCAGGAGGGCGGTTGGCTGACAGGAGGCTCAGCAACAAGGAGGAGCAGACCAGATGTGCACATGGCGGCAGGATGGATATTAAACATAGTGACGACGAGAAAAGCCAGGAGTAGCATCAAACTGTAAAGGTAGTTTACATAAACTAAAATGCATGTGCACAAAAACAACTGCACGTTTTGCAAGAATATATATCATAGAAGGCAGATGCTTTATGGGGGAAGGGAGGGAGCTACAGGGAGAAATTTTCCTACAGGAAACATGCCCACCCCAGGCCCAGGAACTTAGAGGCCAGTCTTTGAGGGTTGGCACCAGGAACTTAGTGGATTCTCAGTTGCAGTCAGGCTGGGCACCAATGGTTTACAGTATGTGTACACCTCAGGATAATATAAAAAACTCAAATATAGCCCTAGCCAGTTTGGCTCAGTGGATAGAGCGTCAGCCTTTGGACTGAAGGATCCCAGGTTCGATTCCGGCCACAGGCACATGCTCGAGTTGTGGGCTCAATCCCCAGTGGGGGGCGTGCAGGAGGCAGACAATCAATGATTCTCTCTCATCATGGATGTTTCTCTCTCTCTATCCCTCTCCCTTCCTCTCTGAAATCAATAAAGACATATATTTAAAAAGCAAAACAAAACTCGGATATAACCTCCTCCAGAGACATAGACTAATTTATGCTGAGTGTGGCTGTGGAATAAATGGCATGAGATGTGGTTGGTTAATCAGAGAAAGTGCCCTGGGCAATGAGGTGTAAAGTGGACAATGGGGGAGAAAAGGACTTCACTCACCAGCCTGGCCTTCAGCCCTTCTCCAATCTGAAGCAGTCAAGAAAAACAAAACAAAGCAAAAACCCAGAATTAGAACACCAGGTTCCTGCAGCTTCCCTGCTCACAGGTGGAATTTGCACCCATTCCAGCCCCCTCCACTTTCTCCTGCACCCACGCCCACAGAGCCAGCAGGTTCCAGCCTGGCCATCAGACCTGGTTGGGAGACAAGAACGTACCTGGGCAAAGGAACGTACCTGGGCAACGGTGGACAAGAAGAGGCAGTTGTAAAAGGGGTCACTTACCAAGCTCTGACTGCGCCTTCCCTGGAAGCAGAACACAGAGCATCAGCCTGGCTGGCTGGCCCACCTTCCGAAGGCTGTTAGGCCACTGGGACGATGCTCCTCAGTCTGAATCCACTGCTCCCCTCGCTCCCATGCGTCTCTGCACCCTCCCCTGCAGGATTCTTACACCCCATCCTGTTCTCTGCTCTTGGGGCAGAAATCCCCACAGCAGGAGGGGTGTGGGAGGAGGAGCAGGTCTGGGCACTGAGGAGCCTTTCCCAGGGCTCAGGTCTGGTCTGAAGAAGCTGCTGCCCAGAAATCACGGGCCTTCCCAGCTGAGCCCAGGCACTGAGCAGCCGCCGGAGCCCCAGGGTTGCAGGTGCATCATTTAAAGGACTGTGTGGACATCACACTGAATTGTGTCTCCTGGCCGGATGCCAGGACAGAGCATTTGCCACCAGAAATGCATGCCTTTGATCTGCCCGCCCTGTGTCTTTTAAAAGTAAATGCCCCTGAGCAAGGCAGCGCTAGGCACTCATCCAGACACTTCACTAGGGGCCGTAAGCGCCACATTCCTGCAGGAGGAGGCCTTCCTTCCCCTGGCTGCTGGCGATGGCTTCCCTCTGGCACCCAGGACGCCGGGTTTCCTCCGGCCGCCAGCAGGCACCTGGGACCGGGCTTCCTGTGCAGCCAAGGTCATGGGAAGGACGTCTGGAAGGACGTCTGGTCACATTAAGCTTTTATCACTATAGATGCTATATCACCTTTGTGCAAGCTCAAGGTGCCACCCTCCCCAGTGGCAGTTGCATTAAAAATAGGATATCCTAGGAACATGAGCCAGAGGGATAAACCTTTAATAGTGGAATTGTGAGTGGCCGGGAAGGGGCTGGGAGGGTCTGTCCAGAGGGTCTGAGTGAGGCCGGGCCTCCGAGGCAGCTTCGCTAGGGTCGTCTGAGAGAAGACGGGGGCGGCTCAGAGGGACGGATTAAGAATCAGATCTTTGCCATCGATCGCTGTCCAAAGGCGGCTTATGGGGTGCCTTAGGTGCGCGGGGCACCCAGAACATACCCAGTTCTGCGGTGAGTTTCCCTGGAGAAGAAACGAAGAAAAGAGGAAATCTCGATGAACGAACGCTGACGCCACGCTTCCCCAAAGTGCACAGACTCGGTCCCCGCGTTCTGGGGACCAGGCTGGGCTGGACGCGGGCTCCGGGCTCCGCGGCGAGGGCGTCGGAAGCGCAAACCCCGCCGCGTCCCGGCGCTGCTCCGAGCCGCCCGTCTGACTCCTCCGCGTGCCCAGCGCCCTCGGCAGGAGCCTCTCCCGCTCACCTCTGTCCTTCTCCGCCTGCTCCTTCAGCTCCTCTGAAAGGGGAAAGGACAGGAGCGGGCGTGGGCAGGGTCCCGGGTGGGTCCCGCGCCGCCCCGCACGCCGGTACCTAGGGCCGGGCCCGCCCTCCCCGCCCGCCCTCCCCGCCCGCCCGCCGCGGGTACCTAGGGCCCGGCGCTGCCGGTGGGAGAGGCGCAGCGCCAGCGTGGCGAGCAGGGCCAGGAGGAGCAGCAGCCCGACCACCAACGTCCCGAGGAAGGCTGTCTTCCACGGCGCGGGCCCGCGGAGAAACTCGTCTGGAAAACACACCGGAGCCGTCTGACCCGGGCGCCTCCGCGCGGGGAAACGTCGGGAGCCCCCGGGGCGCAGCACCGGCCAGTGGGCGCCGCCGGCTCCGGAGGCGGCCCGAGGCGCGCGGACTAGGCCCAGCTCCGCGGGAAAGAAAGCGCGCAAACGGGGGCGGACCAGGGCGCCGAGATGAGCCCTTCCCGCCCTGAACTGCTGGGCCGCCGCCCCGACTCCCTCTGCGGCTTCCCGCTCTCGCCTGCGCCCGCACCCCAGGGTTCTGTTGATAGGAAAACCCGCTTTGCTTCTGGCTAACACTCGGCTTCTACGTCCCATCACCTTGGGAAGAAACGATCGCAAAGCCCGGGCTGATGGACAGCCCGCCCCCCTCCCCCCCCCTCCCCGTCGCCAGGTAGGCTGCTGCAGACCGTTGGCAGGCGCACATGGAGAATGCTCCTTGGGAAACCCGTGTAGCAATTGGGTACAGTGAGTCTGTCTGCGGCAGATAATTCTAAAACAACGGTGCTTTCATCTCAGTGGTCTTTTAAAACATATACATCACATAAAACGTCCCATCATGGCCAACTTGAGCTGACACTTCAGTGGCATTAACTGGTTCACATTGCTGTCCAACCACCAGAACTTTTCTTCTTCCCAAAGTGAGGTCTGTCCCCAGGAAACACTTCCCATGTCCCCACCCTCCTAACCCCTGATAACCTCTATTCTACTTCCCGTCTCTAAGAATTGGCTACCTTATAAAAGTGGAATCAGACAATATATGTCCTTTTGTGCCTGGCATTCCACTAGCACAATGTGCTCTTTTGTTTGTTGGTTTAATTTTTCTTGCGGTGCGTTTTTATTGTCGGATACAAAACTATCGTTCCACACGGCTTGGTCCTTCACCTCAGGTAAGGGTTGAGAGCAAAGTCTCAGGGTCTGATACCACCTGACTGACTAGCTACCCTGGATCTTGTCCGGTTCCTTCCCCTCCCATCTCCTCCAATAGCCACACAGTCCCATCTCAGGACCTTTGCACTTGCTGTTCCCTCTACCTGAATGCCCTCCTAATCTGTATCCATGTGATACACCCCCTTTATAAAGCCCCATGTGGCTTTGCTATCGATCCTTCCAAAGGTGTGATGAGACTTAGAAACTAAGTGTTTGCAAGAAGCAAACCGGGTTTCTGATATCAACGAAACATCTACAGGGGGGGGGGGAAGGGGGGAATTTTCCTGGTGTAAGACTTCCCCCTCCCCCTTCCCCCTTTCTTAGAGTCTAAGACTTAGACCATCTTCTTTGGAAAACATGTAAATCTTTTCTCCGTCCTATTGAGATGTATGCAAATTCTTTTGAAAGCTAAATAAGCCTCCCGCCAGCTTTACAACCCAGGACAGTTTCCCTTCTGGAGCTCAAACCCTCTCTTTGAAATGTAAACACCCAAGAGAAAACACCTCTGTCCCGCGTCCTGGGAGTTTCCAGAGGCACCTGGCTCCTAGTGGTAGCTGCTTTCTTGTCATAAAGATATGCGATGCTATATCTTCCCTTTGGGTCAATACAATCTGCTAACAGAACCCTGTCTGGGTGGTCTGATGGCAACATCCGGATATGCCAAGTTTGTAGGTTTGAGCTCTGGTCAGAGCACAAACAAGACGCAACCAATGCATGCTAAATAGGTGGAACAACAAGTAGACCCCCCCACGCCCTCCGTCCTTCCCCCCTTTGCTCTCTGAAATAGATAAATAATTAAAAAGGACAATTAGCCGAGACTTGTTTGGCTCAATGGATAGAGCGTCGGCTTGGGGACTGAAGGGTCCCGGGTTCGATTCCGGTCAAGGGCATGTACCTTGGTTGCGGGCATATCCCCAGTAGGGGGTGTGCAAGAGGCAGCTGATCGATGACTCTCTCTCATCGGTGTTTCTAACTCTCTATCTCTCTCCCTTCCTCTCTGTACAAAATCAATAAAATATAATAAAAAAAATAAAAATAAATAAATAAATAAAAGGACAATTAGCTAACAAAGATAGCTACCCAATTGCCAGCCATATTTACATGAATTGTGTGTACTGTCTATTAGGTCGAGGCAGGGGGAAGCCCAGAGCTGATGTAAGCATCTGCGAGGTGGATGGTGACAAAGACAGCTGGCTAGCTGGCGCCTTCCTAGGGCCTTCCTAGCCTAGGCAGGAATTCCACACTCTCATGCCCTCCGCCCTCTTCTCCCTAAACAGCTGTATGAAAGAAGCACCTAGGCGGCTTTTGGCGCGAACTTCCCTGGCCCACCCTCGGACCAGCGAGCTTCACCCGGAGCCCAGAGCGCAGTTAAAACCCTCCCCCTTTCAATGGCCTGGACTCCGTGTCTTGCTTCTGCATCTCGAACCTCTCAGCTGGGACCTTACACTGTCAAGTCCTCTTACTTGAGGATAAATCCTCAATTATAAGGATGAAATTTCTTTCTGTTATTATAACTATTGATTTGGACCTATGTGGATAAGCGCCCCATAGATTGGGTTTGTCCTCAATATTTAAAAACAGCTAAAGCCATGAACATTAAACCTTTCAGTGGAGCCTCCGAAAAAGACTTTGATGTTAAATATTGGCCCACTGAACTCATTGCCTAACTGACTTCTTCCCTGACCCACCACTTTTAAATCCACATACACCCCCACCATGTCTTATCACTCTTCCTTGCTTCATTATTCCCTAAGCGCCTAACACCTTCTAACAGTGCAACATAATTCACCTGTTTGGGATGTGAACTGGGAACAGGGGTGTGGAGCACATTGTAGTCCTCTGTAATTCTTGTTAGCGGTCACATTAGGAACATTTGCCTTCCGAGAGCAGTTTCTGGGTTTTAGCTGGTGGCCTTGTCATGTTGGCTCTGGGGGCCTCATCTGTTTACGGGTGGGGTTGTCAGTTGTATTCTTAGTAGGTTCCTGATATCCTAATATCTGACTTTTCAGATGTCAAGGTCAGCTCACCCCAGTCAGGCCCCCATACTATTGTGACCTTATAGATGGACTTTGGGGCAATGGACATGGAGGATGTGATGATTAGGAAGATGAAGGTGAGCCACCACCCACTGACCTGCTATTTGGACCACGAACTCTTTCTTTTGGAACAGAACAGGGTTCTGGATGGAGCAGGACACGTTGCTGTGGGCCCCTCCTTGGACGACCACAGATGTCTCCAGACTGAACAGGCCGCGGGCGTCCTGGGTGATGGCTTCGAACTCCGGAGGCAGGCACTGTCCCCGGTGGCCTCTCCACTGAGCCTGAGGCTTGGGGTACCAGCCACTGGAGCTGCACCTGAGCTGAATGCCTTCTTTCTCAAAGCCCTCAAGGGAGATGTGAGGGTCTGACCCCATTCCTGGGAGATGCAAGCGTGGGAAAAATTAGGCTCCTCCCTGGAAGTTATGGTTAAAGCTTATAACTGACTGCTCTGAGCACACCATGGGCCCATAGCCTCCGCCCACAGACTGTCCCCGAGGGTCCATTGTAACGTCTGGAAACATGGAGAGGGCGTTTTACTCGAATGTGCTACCGACATTTAGTCATATTATGCAAGGGATACTCCCCAGAATGAAGAATAATCCCTCCCCAAAGTGCAACAGCTTGTCTTCTCTCTCCTGACTCCCAACAGGGCTCAAGTGCCTGTGACATACACACTCCTTTATCATCCCATCCTTGTGGCGCTAGCTTTATGTTTTAAATATGCAAAACATTAATGTGGTTTAAACGCCAATACTGTAAAGATGTATGTCAGCAACACCTTTCTCCACCCGTTCTATGGAGCACAGCCCTGCCTTAGGGAACCCATCTCACTAGTTTCTACTCACCCTCCCTGTGTGTTCTCTTGTGCACTGTTTCTCCCTCTTCCCTACACAAACGCTTACACACCGTATAGAACTCCTTATGCATCTGCTTTTCTTTTGTGTTAACAACCTGCAGAGCGCTCCACAGCAGTTCACAGAGCTGCTATGTCCCCAGTTGCGTGGTATGGATCACCCATATGTGATGGGCCACACTCAGCACCTGTGCTTGCTCATTTAGGTTGCTCCCGCCAATTTGCAATTACAATAATGCTGCAAAGATTAAACGTATCCCCAGGCCCTTTTTCTATTTAGCTGTGGGAGGTGTCTCTTCAGGGCCAACTCCTAGAGGGAGGTTGGTGTTCAAAGGGGGGCGCACAGACAATGCTGCCGTCGCCGAATTGCAGGCACGGGTGCTGTGGGACCGCGGAGCAGAGCGCCTCCCTCCGCAATTCCACCAATCTAAAAATTCTGCCAGACTGAGAAGTAAAAGAAATGCGACTCAGTGTGGCTTTAATCTGCCTTTCATGATGAGTAAAAGGGATAAGTCATCCTTCCATATGTTTAAGGGCTATTTGTGTATCTTTTTTTATGAACAACGTTTTTGCTGTTCATTTTCTAATTTTTTAAAATTGAGCAATTCCCCTGTTCTCCGTGCTTCCCTGTCAAGTCTGAAGCCAAGCAGTTACATCCAGTGGGCCCTTCCCTGCGGCTCTTCGCCCGCTCCCGTGCTGGCACAGCCAGCTCACACACCTGCTACCTCCAGCTCCCAGACCGCCTCCCCGGAGAAGGAGGAGTCCTTGGAGAGGAAGCGGCACCCATAAGGGCCCTCGTCGGTGGGGAGCACGCCGTGGAGCTGCAGGATCACAGTGCCGTCCAGGATCTCGTCCTTGATGAGTCTGGTCCTGTTCTGGAACTGCGCCATCTGCCGCCCCGGGAACTCCTGCCCGTCCTGGTACAAGTGCACCACGTCGGAGGCCTGGCCCCGGAACCAGAGGATCTCCATGTGCTCTGCATCTCGGTACGGGGACAGGTGGCACGGGAACTCCGCCTCCTCCCCGACGGTCGCCAGGATGGACTCGCCAAGGCCAATCACCTTGACCTCCTCTAGGATGAGACGACGGAATAATGACCAAATACAGCTCTCCTCAAATATAAGCTTTAGGGATGTCCCTTTGCAGCTCAGAAATCTACAGTAAACCATTCGAATGAGGAAGGTGAGACACCCTACAAGACAGCCTGTCAGGTTTCTTGAACAAGTTACTGTCATAAAAGAAATAAATGGGTGGAGGGAGGGGGGGCAAAAAAATCAATAAAATATATTAAAAATTAATCAATTAATCAATTAATTAATTAATTTTAAAAAAAGGAATGGGGCCCTAACCTGTTTGGCTCAGTGGGTAGATCGTGGACCTGCAGACTGAAGGGCCTCGAGTTCAATTCTGGACAAGGGCACATGCCCTGGTTGCCCGCTTGATCCCCAGTAGGAGGCGTGTAGGAGGCAGGAGGCTGCAGGAGGCAGGCGATCAATGATTCTCTCTCATCACTGATGTTTCTTTTATCTCTCCCTCTTCCTTCCTCTCTGAAATCAATAAAAGTATGTTTCAAAAAAAAAGAAAGAAAGAAAGAAAAGGAAATGAATTGGTAATTTCTGAATAATGGGAATAGATGTTTGTTTTGTTTTGTCTGGTTTTATATATATATAAATATATATATATTTATAAATATATATATTTAAAAAACATTTTAAAAACTATTATTTACAGAGAGGGAGAGGGATATAGAGTTAGAAACATAGATGAGAGAGAAACCTTGACCAGCTGCCTCCTGCACACCCACTACTGGGGATGTGCCCACAATATATCCTTGACCAGAATCCATCCTGGGACCCTTCACTCAGCAGACCAATGCTCTATCCACTGAGCCAAACCAATTGGGCTAATTTTATATTTTTTTATAGTGTACATATACACTGCCTCTGTAATAGCAAAGGGTATTAAAATAATCTATGGGGCCCTAGCTGGTTTGGCACAGTGGATGGAGCATCAGCCTAGGGACTGAAGGGTCCCAGGTTTGATTCCACTCAAGGGCACATGCCCAGGTTGCAGGCTTGATTCCCCAGTAGGGAGCGTGCAGGAGGCAGCTAATCAATGATTCTCTCTCATCATTGAAGTTTCTATCTGTCTTTCCCTCGCCCTTCCTCTCTGAAATAATATATATATATATTAATAAAATAATAATAATATATGAGATCCTTGCTTTTTCTTTTGTTAATCCTCACCTAATGTATATATTTAATTCTCACTCGAGGAAATTTTTTTTCATTGATTTTTAGAGAGAGTGGAAATGAAAGGGAGAGACAGAAACAGTGATCCGAGAGAAACACATCAATTGGTTGCCTCCTGCATGCCCCTGAACAGGGCAGGAATCTGCAACCAAAGGTATGTGCCCTTGACCTGAATTGAACCCAGGACCTGTCAGTCCGCACACTGAGCCAAATTGGCTAGGGCCCAAGGATATTTTTCCCATTGATTTTTAGAGAGAGTGGAAGGGAGGGGGAGAGACAGAGAGAGAAACACATGGGTTGGTTGCCTCCCATACACAGGATTGAGCCTGCAACCAAGGTATGGTCCTTGGCCAGAATCAAACTCAGGACCCTTTAGTTGCCAGGCTGATGCTCTATCCACTGAACCAAAGCAGCTAGGGTACTTTACTTTCTTCTTCCTCCTCCTCTTCTTCTTCTTCTTCTTCTTCTTCTTCTTCTTCTTCTTCTTCTTCTTCTTCTTCTTCTTCTTTTTTTAATCTAAAAGTCAAATTCTGCCCAGCTGGCATGGCTCGGTGGTTGAGCATTGACCTATGAACCTGGAGGTCACTGTTCGATTCCTGGTCAGGCCACATGCCCGGGTTACTGGCTGGATTGCAGTGGGGGGTGTGCAGGAAGCAGCCAGTCAATGATTCTGTCTCATCATTGGTATTTCTATTTTTTACTCTCTGGAGTCCATAAAAATATATATTAAAAAAAATCAAATCCTTCCGTGAAGATGTTTATTTGAGGGATACAGTGAACTTTATTGATGGTGCATGACAAGTAGGGCTCCCTATGCCCCTCCCCTTCTTCAAGGGGTCTGGGATGGAAACGGTGGTCAGGAGATTCTCAGTGTGTTGGGATCGATCCCCAGCAGCTGAGGGCCTCTTTTCCTCTTGCTGGGGCTGGTGGTCCAGAGGTTCTTACTGCATAGAGGCCATGGGGACCACATGGTCCACCACCCTGTTGCTGTCGCCAAATTCATTGTCAGACCAGAAAACAAGCTTGACAAAGTGGTCATTGAGGGCAATGCCAGCCCCAGCATCAAAGGTGGAGTGGGTGTCACTGTAAAAGTCGCAGGAGACAGCCTGGTCCTCAGTGTAGCCCAGGATGCCCTTGAGGGGGCCCTCTGATGCCTGCTTCACTCTCTTCTTCTTCTTCTTCTTCTCCTTCTTCTCCTTCTTCTCCTTCTTCTTCTTCTTCTTCTTCTTCTTCTTCTTCTTCTTCTTCTTCTTCTTCTTCTTCTTCTTCTTCTTCTTCTATTCTTATTGATTTTTTACAGAGAGGAAGGGAGAGGGATAGAGAGCTAAAAACACCAATGAGAGAGAAATATCAATCAGCTGCCTCCTGCACACCCCCCACTGGGGATGTGCCTGCAACCAAGGTACATGCCTTGACCAGAATCGAACCTGAGACCTTTCAGTCTTCAGGCCAACGCTCTATCCACTGAGCCACACCGGTTTCAGCTTCACTCCCTTCTTGATGTAACATATTTGGCAGCTTTCTCCAGGCGGCAGGTCAGATCCACAACCGGTGGGGACACGGAAGGCCATGCCTGTGAGCTTCCCATTCAAATCAGGGATGACCGTGTCCACAGCCTTGGCAGGGCCAGCAGAAGCAGCCCCTCGCCCATCACACCACAGCTTCCCAGAGGGGCCATCCAGGGAGGCAGTGATGGCATGGACGGTGGTCATGAGTCCCTTCATGATGCCTATGTTGTCACGGATGACCTTGGCCAGGGGGCCAAGCAGTTGGTGGTGCAGGAGGCATTGCTGACAATCGTGAAAGGGTTGTCATACTTGTCATGGTTCACACCCATCACAAACATGGGGCATTCGCAGAAGGGGCAGAGACGATGACCCTCTTGGCTCCGCCCTTCAAGTGAGCCCGGCCTTCTCCCTGGCAGTGAAGACACCAGTGGACTCCACCACGTACTCAGCACCAGCATCACCCCATTTGATGTTGGCGGGATCTCACTGATGGAGATTGATTTTGCACTGATGACAAACTTCTCATTCTCAGCCTTGACTGTGCCTTTGAACTTGAAGAGAACCATACTGGAATATGTACACCATGCAGTTGGGATCAATGAAGGAGATTATTGATGGGGACGATGCCCACTTTCCCAGATTTAAAAGCAGCCCTGGTGACCAGGTATCCAAAGTTGCTCACTCTGACCTTTACCTCGGTGTATCAGGGCTGCGTGGGAAGACAAGGCTGTCTGATGAACAGGAGACATAGCCCTGCCTTGGGGACTTCTATTCACTAGGATCTTTCATTTGATCATCCTCTTTCATGGCATACCCATCTGGTCCCTCCAGTGTCTGCAATTTCCATGAGCATTGCTATTCTTGCTGCAGTTCTTCTGCACGAGCTGTTTCCTGCCACCTAGCATGCCTCACTCTTCTCTCTGCCTCTTTCTGTGAGCCTCCTTTCCTTTCCTTGAAGATCAGCTAAAGACTACATTCATCCGAAGCTTAACTAAAACCGTACTCCCCGCTGAAACCGGTTTGGCTCAGATAGAGCGTTGGCCTGTGGACTCAAGGGTCCAGGTTCGATTCCGGTTAAGAGCATGTACCTTGGTTGCGGACACGTACCCAGTAGGGGGTGTGCAAGAAGCAGTTGGTCAATGTTTCTAACTCTCTATCCCTCTCTAAAAAAATCAATAAAACATATTATAAATAAATAAATAAATAAATAAATAAATAAATAAAACCGCACTCCCAGCTCTCCCATCATGGATTGCCACCCTTCTGTGGGGCATGGCAGTGCCTTCTTTGTTCATTTCATTTGAGACCCTTGTTGCCATGGGTGAAGCCCAACAACCTTCCAACTAATTTCCTTCTCCAGCTCCCCCCCCCCCCCGACCCTGATGCCTGGCCCTCTCCGTGGGTGCAGTTTACCCTCCAATTGTCATCTTTCTACATAATATGTCCCCTGCAAGGCTCTGCTCAAATACTTCCTCCTATTTAGGGTTTTTCTGGGTTTCTGGAAAAAAACCCAAATGATTCTCTTAACTCTGCTCCCAAAACTTGGGTAAATTTTTTTTTAAAATATATTTTATTGATTTTTACACAGAGAGGAATTGAGAGGGACAGAGAGTTAGAAACATCGATGAGAGAGAAACATCGACCAGCTGCCTCTTGCACACTGGGGATGTGCCCTCAACCAAGGTACATGCCTTTGACTGGAATCGAACCCGGGACCTTTCAGTCCGCAGGCCGACGCTCTATCCACTGAGCCAAACCGGTCCCGGCTAAACTTGGGTAAATTTCTCTTGCAATCTGATCACAAACAGCTGGACAGGTGGATTTAAAAGTATTTTCCAACTGGTTCAGCCAAAGCACCGACCAGTAAGAGTTTCTGAGCATCTCTTGCTCTGCCCCTGCCATGCTTGTGAGCTGTGGTCAGTGTGTAGGAATATGCGGAGTGGCTGGAGTGATGGTGAAAGAACACTGCAGGTGGGGCTGGCTGGTGCATGGGGCTCTAACCACTGGGATGGAAATGTCCTTAAATACTAGAGTGGAAATTTTTATCGCTCCGGAGGGCAGTGGACTATCCCCTGACAGGGTTATCAGGCCTTGAGATATGGTCTGATGGCCCCTTCCCTTCGCACCTCACAGAATAGCCTTGCAAGACAGAACCCTGTCATCTTTCTGAAGAACAGGATAACCCTGTGAATAACATGGTTTTCGATAGCATGGCCCGGACATTATTTGGGAAAAACTGTTTTGTCTTGGGTTGCTTTCTCTGCAAAAACAGGATATGGTTAAATGTGCTTAAAAAGGGTCGGGGCTGCTCTCTGGTCTCCCTGTTTGGAGAAAGGCAGAGCAGTCACCAGTCAGCTGGTCAGCTAATAAAGGCTCCCTAAATTTTAATTTGGCCTGGTCTTCAGTGGTCTTTACTCACGTTCACTCCACAGCACTAGTACCTGGCATGGCTACAGATCTCAGCCGGGCACACCAGCAGGAGGGGTAGGTAGAGGCTGATAGACTCACGTTCTGGCTGGCTGGGCTGCAGACGGATACGCTACCTGAGTTTGTCTCCCAAGCCTGGAGGATGAGGAGGAGATGGATGAGGAAGATGAGACTGCTGGGCTGAGGTACCCGCTGAAAGGAGTTCAGAGAAACCGGGAAACTGACCATCTCTTCAGCAGTCAGGTCTCCTGCAGAGGGACAAACAGATGCTGGGGTGAACCAGGAGAGCTGGAACCCGGCCCCTCAGGCCAGAGGGCTATCAGTGCCTTAATTATCTTCGGTGTGGTTCTTAACAACCATAGTACCTGGCTTCTTCTGAACCACGCATGTCCAATTGGTGGCCTGCTTGTCGCATGCCTCATTTATTGGGCCGTGTTAGCCTTTGAGTTTGACATGCTTCTTCTAAACCATAGCCGGATGTGAGAGCTGCTTCTAAATTTACCAGGCAGCACTGGTAATGCCATCACCGGCCTTGCTTGGAGCCGCATGGGGACAGGTCCCAGGGTCCCAGAGGAAGCAGTTCCTGAGGTTCACATTGTTTTAGAGCCTGAAATAGAGCCGTGTGTTGTGTTGGGGCTCAGCTAGAATTTCGTGACTTTCTACAAAGGGAAATCTATAAAAACTCTACATGCATTTTCACTCTCTCTGCCCAGCACTGTTCCCATTCCCCTTGGCCTGGAACATCAGGTCCCCAAAACAGATGAACAAACACCGAGTTCCAATCTCTCAGAAACGGGACACATGCCTGGCAGCTGCTGACCAACTTCCACTGCACCTGGGACACCTCCCTCCAGTCCTAGATCCTCAGGTGTAGCCTCCAGGAGGTTAGCTGGCGACTGCCCCTGAGTCTATGGCACCGTTGAGGCACAGTGATGGTGTGGTCCCATTAGCTACACCAACCCCCACCTATGGCCTGGGAAACCCATCCCCAATGCAGGCGAGGGCTGTCCCTCCTACTCCCGACACACCTAGGGACTTCAGCCTGGCTCACAGTCCTACAGCCAGAGTGCAGGCAGCCCATGCATCTTGGGAGACACACAATCCTCTCCACATTTTCCCTCTGTTGAGTTGTGGGACTGTAGGCAAATTTATAACGGGCTGAACCTCATTTCCTTGTTTGAACAATAGAAGAAACCAATGCCAGCTCAGAGGGTCTAAGCCTCCCACAGGTTAGCTGGTGTCCTCTTCCCTCTGCCTCCACCTTCCAAACAGCTGCTTGCTACCCTCCTCCTTCCTCCGGAAATGAAACCCCCTCCTTTCACTCCGTCATAGCACCCAATGGGAGAGCCCCATCATCCTCAGCCTCCCTTCTTCCTCCTCTCCTTCCCACGCCACTGCTTGGTTTCCTTTCTCACAGACCTGTGACATGCACATGCTCCTGTGGTCCTGTGGCTGCAGAGCCCCAACCAACAGCCAGCAATCCTCTGAAAGGACTTGGAAACTGCGAGGTTATTCAGCAGAAGAGGGGCCAGAGGAGGTGTGTGAGTGACTTCGTGGAGAGGGGAGACGCCCCAGGTGACCCCAGAGCTGGAAGGACTGGGGTCACTAAAATACAACAGGTGTGGGAGGTGATAGCCTGTGAGGTGAGTGGGCCAGGGGCTCACAGGAAGGGGTGGGGGAGGCAAGCTGGACCAGCTGGATTTGTGCTTCAGGAGGGGCCTCTGTGGGGGAGGAAGTCGAAGTCCCTCCTGGAGGGGTCCTGGCTGTGTTCCAGGCCAGCAGCTACTGCGGTGACTATTCCCACAACAACCAGAGAGCAGATGCCTTGGGCTGGGGTCCAGGCTCTGGACAGACAGTGCAGCCTCTCACCCTCTGGGCTGATCAGGAACATGTGCCAGGCCTGGAGACCCCAGAGCAGGGGGTGTGATTTCTCTCCTCCCTGTTTTCTTCTCTTTTGGGCCTCGGTCTTTACTTCTGGGCTCTTAACTGGAGGTGCAAGAGGGCAAAACCAAGAGGGTCTCTTAGCAGCAGCCAACGTCTCCGGACAGGAGGCCGCAGGGCACCTGACGGATCTGCTTGGGCTGCCGGGTTCTGAGGAGTTAATCACGTCTTATGGCAGATGGTGACTTGCGTCCTCTCCGAGGCAGCGGTGGCTCGTGCCCGCAGCGGGGCGGGCGTGCTTCACGGGAGGAGAACGTGCCCTGGTATTCCTGGGCAGGGGAGCCTGCCACCTTGGGGTGGGGGAGCTGGGGCTGTCAGCGTGTTCCAGACCCTGGAATTCCTATAGGGCTGCAGGTGCCTGTTGTGATACACCCATGTGATTCCTGTCACCAAGGCTGGAGGAGGAGGTCTCTCTCACAGAATAATAAAAAAATTAGCACAAATCGAGACCTGAGTACCTACCAATCCCTTCCCTACACCAGAGTACTGAGATTATTATTGCCACAGACAGGGAAACGGAGGCACAGGAGGCCAGCTGACCAGCCTGCACAAGAGGTGGTGGTGGAGGGGGGTTCGAGCTCTGCGTTTCTCTGAATCCTCATCAGCTGTGCATGTGTCAGGACTGCGTGCACCTTCAGTCTCCTGTCCCCGCCACATGACCCCTGGAGGGACTCCTGGCCACAGCACTTGCCCTGACAGATCTCTTTGCACCGAGTCCTCAGGCACCAGCCCCCAGACCAAGAACCAGCCAGCCAGCCATCAGCCAATGAGTAAAAATCTAAACGCTCCCTCAAAATGGAGTCTCCCTGAAAGCTTGTGAGCGGCACCGTCTCGGACAGAACGCACCTGCCGTGTGGTCTCTGCTCCCAACACACAGGACGTGCCCGGGAGCCCTCACTCAGAGGGAGACGGTCTGGCAACTCCCTGAAGGGACTTCTGAGGCTGAATGCCTGTGGCACTGAAAGGAGTTTTTAGGGGTAAATAGGCGGTTGAGGGAGTTTTAGAACCAGCGGGTCCTTGAGGGAGGAAGACTTGGAGCCTGTAGGTGGGGGCCTGGAACTGCCAACAGGCATCATTACAGAGAACAAAAGGTGCCGCAGGACAAGGGAGAGGAAGGCCACAGGGTGGGGAGAAAGGAAGAAACGCTCACAGGAGATAGAGATGCCGCACGCGGGGAAAGAGGAGACAGATCTCCACGCAGAGCAGGCGAGAATTCTGCCACTGAAGCAGAGAGAGTAAGGGGGCCCCGCGGGGGTTGCGAGCTTTGAAGTTGATAGTCTACCAGCTGGAAGGCAGCCTCAAGAAAACAAAGAACTGCAGCCTTTATAAACCTTAGAAAAAGGGGCTCCGTGCTACCACCCCGCCGTGGGACCCTTCCCCAGTGGGAGTCTGTACTTGTTTCCAATAAATCTCCACTGTTTTCACCTACCACCTTTTGTCCGTGGCTTCATTCTTCAAATCCACCGGGACAAGGACCCGGGAAAGAAAGCACCCTTCATTCTGCTCAGGAAGGTCCCCCGACGCCCCACCTGCGCCTGGAGCTCACCTCCTGGCTCTGCCTTAAGGCTCGGGCCTCCCTGGAGAGCAAGGACCCCCGAGGGCTCCCCTCCCCTCCCCCCCCCCCCCCCCCGCTGTGCACCCCCGTGGGCATGGATTCCAGGTTCTGGGTTCGTGAGGAGGTTCTGCTGGGAGAGGCCTGGGAGCGGGGAGTAACGGGGAAGGTGGAGGAGCCAGTGGGGAGAGGAGGGCAGATGGGCTCAGCAGGAGATAAGCCGTGCGGTGGGTACAGGCTCCCGGGCCTGCTCCCTCCTGGGGACGGGGAGGAGGACGGCTGGTGCACACTGGCACACAGTGCTGCCCCCTCTGCCCAGGGGGAGCCCGAGTCCCCGAATTCCTTTCCTTCTCACGTCCCCGGCCCTCTCCAGCCGTCCCAGTTTGCTCCTCCTGCATCCCCAGTTCCTAAAACACACCCTGGGCTGGAGATCACCAGTCCCTCAGCTTTGCGTGTCTCTGTAAAGGTTTCTTGCTGCTTTTGCTACCTTCGTGACCTTGGGCTAAGGCCCGGGGAGCTTCGCCCTCCTCCCAGGCCCGTGTCCCAACTGGGAGCCCAGGAGTGAGGTTTGCACCTCCACAAGCTGTCGATCAATCGATCGATCCACACTCACGGGCTTGCTTGGGTTTGATTTCCATCGGCCCACAAGGGATTTCTACCCCAGCCTCCGAGGGAGGTGACCCTCCAGGAAGGGACCCTCAGCGAGGCTGGAGGGAAGCGGGGGCATCCGGTTCCCGCCTCCTCAGGTGGCGCTGCCTCTCCCGGAGCCGCGCTCCACATACACCCCTTGCAGCCAGGCCCTGCTGGGCAGATGGGGCCAACCTGTGCTCTCTCAAGAAGCCATCATGTTCTGCTTCCCGCTTCTGAAAGGTGGAGGCTTAGGCAGGCGTTGGGAGTGAGCCATGTACCTGGCAGGCTGCAGCAGAGGGTCCGAAGTGGCAGCGTCTGGCGAGCCCAGCTCTGGGGCAAAGGAGATGATTGCTGTGAAGAGTCTTGGTCCAGTTGAGGGGCAGCTTACATGTGGCAAGGACCCACCCACCTTTCACCTTAAGACACGCGCTGCTTGCTCTGCCCTTTGCTACAAAAACCAAGAAAGATAGACAAAAGGAGGAAGTCCCTGTCACATCCTGTCTCTGTGAGGCACATCATGAGTGAAATTTCCATGAAGAACGTCATTCCAATGGCTTAAAAAGAGGGCAAAGGTGCCTGGGAGTTTTGCAGAGACTGCAAGCCTGCAGAGCGGTGGGGCAGGGATGCTCAGCTGGCTGACTGGGGCTTGGGGCTCCAGGGAGGCAGGCTGGCTTTACTAGCGGCCCCTCCCTCCTCACCATCACAGCAGAAGATACAGACTGCCTCCCCACCCCTTTCTGCACTTTCTGATCTGCAGAAATCCGCTGTTACAGAGGGGGAGTGCTGGGTGGGGAAAGATCTGGTGCCCAGCACTCACTCAGCTCTACCTTCCTCTGCTGGGCCAAGAAGCAACATAGACTGGGTCATTGCCATAAGGGAAGCTGTAGGAGCTGGGCACACACAGCTTGGGAATGAAATGATGCCCTGCACTGGGAATTCCCTAAAGAATGGAGCTCAGGAAGGAAGCAACCATTAACCCAGTGAGCCCCGTTGTGCCTGAGGCCACTGTGCAACCTCAGTATCCGTGACAGAGGAGTGCAGTGATCAGGTGCCAGTCACTTGGCTGCAGCCAGCCCTGACAGCCCCTCCGGACGGCCGAGTAGTG